GAGGGGCATCATTGGTAGGGGGTACATAGGTTGGTCCTACACATTGTAGCAGTTTTTGCGAAGTAATGAAAAATAACTAGTGCCACGCGGCACCGCTGAAAGCACATGCATTTTGGAATAATGTACAGGGGGAGACCAAAAAAAGACATTTTTCTTCCTTGACTTTCGAGGCGCTATAAGTTACACTTTATTAAATTTTTATCGGACATTTCTACTACCATATTAAAGAGCATATTAAATACTATCACGATACTCCGCCACAGCCTTCTGGAGGAGCGCCATCGAGAGATCCACACGACCGGTGCCTGAGATCAGCGAGATCGTTGATTTCTCCGCCACCGTAGACCACCCTATTGAACTCCGCCCGAACCAGGTAATTGAGGGGATTCAGGTCAGGTGACCTGCTTAGATATTCCATCTTCTTCAGGTACTCAACGCCCTTCCATTCCAAGTAGGCGAGAGTTTTCCAACGCCCTTTCGATTCCATGTGGTGTCACCCAATCCTGAGTACAAAGTTTCCAAGAAGGTACGGGCGACGACATGTGGGAGGATATTCTTTTCGATTGCTCGATGTAACCGCCAGCGCTCACCTTCAGTCCGGGTCCACGAAGAAAATATAGGTCTTTCCATTCCAGGTACGTCCGGCCCATACCATCAACCCGCCTTGGACGACTGCGGTGAAGATGATGTCCTAGACCGTAGCGACGTTGTCGGAGCTGCTCGATGTTGGAGGTCTTCCAGATCGAGAGTACTGGTCTCCAGGTAGCTATCCATGGGTGACTCCACACTAGAAGTTTCGCAGCTGTTTGGAGGTGACATGAATTCCAAAGGTCTTCTCCAGTCAGGCTGCGACTGGAGATGACTTCATATTTTGGTGTACATGAAGGTGATGGGCGAGAGCCAGCTCCTGCTTATCGAGGAACATCTTGGGTATCTTCCGCCCTGGTACTCGTATCCACGTCCTCTGTCTGGCTGCAAAATCTTTGCTGTGTCTTTTTTTTGCCCCCCCCCCCCCCTGTATACTGTCCAGATGGGCATTGTTCGAGCTTCTACTGAGTTTGAAATCAAACTGTACCCTCACTTCCTCAGACATGTAGAGGATGGGATTCTCCATGTCCGAGGTGACTATGTAGGCCGCAGTTGCGATAGCCTGCCACTTTCTCTGCTCAAGGATGCTTAGGAACGGGGCTGGAGGGTAGTGACACCCGAGTGTCGTCTCCACACTCCGTCTGTGCTATCATCGAGGCGCAAGGGAGACACGCACTCAGCGGTAGAGAATAACCAGATGTGACAGGACGCAGACGAGTAGCGCGTTTGCAGTGGCTAGGCGTATGGCTAGCCACGCAGCAGTGCGGACGGAGCGTGGACACGGGAACCGTGTATTATCATACTCGTTAATGTGCACTTTTAACCGGAGAAAGTGGCACGTTTCTTCAGCTGCGGACACATTGACCTTACGCATAGCAAGGAACGGAAAGTGAGTGTCGGGCAGCGTTCAGACTTGTCGCGCTTAGATTGTCGCTGTCGCTTGTAACTGAACACGCTACAAGCGCGCTAAAATTGTACCAGACCCCAGCTTCCCTTTATGTTCTTTCTTCCGGTATTCAATCCCTTTTTCACTGTTTCTCATTTCTACCTGATTCTTAGCTCATCTTTTTCACTTTGTCATTTGATTTAAATGTAACTTTAACGTTTTTGACGACATTTTAAATTTTTTCGAGTTTTTGACATTTTTTTAACGACGAGTTCTTCTGAAACGGTATACAAAATCATTACCACAGTGTCCTGTATTAAGAACTACATTCATAGTGAAAAAGACAAGCTAAGAATCAGGTAGAAATGAGAAACAGTGAAAAAGGTGTTGAATACCGGAAGAAAGAACATAAAGGGAAGCTGGCATGGTACAATTGAAGCGCGCTTGTAATTGTAGCGTGTTCAATTACAAGCGACAGCGACAATTGAAGCGCGACAATCAACGCGCGTTCAAGTGCGACAAGTCTGAACGCTGCAGTGTCTAAAGGAGAAAAAGTGCAGTTTGTCTTCGAGAGAAAAAGATCACATTCAGAGAATCGTTTGCCGAATCAGGCTCGTTAATTCAGAAGAAGTTTCGTTTCGAATTTCATCAGAACAGCTGGAAAAAAGTTCTGTTCCAGGGCTAAAAGCAGATCAGATCTCTCGGTTGTGCCCTCATTTTCCATAACCTAAAAGCGGAGCCTTCGTAATTGAATGAGTGGAAATTGACAGTTGAGAGCTTCTTACGTCATATCCGTGGATTTTCTAGATATTTCTCTACTCACTGGAATTCATCCCTTTAGCAGATTAAGCCTGATTATCACACACTCATAATCGCACGTATCCGGGTTACGGCAGGATAATCGGACCGAGAGACGTTTCAGTCGATGGCTCTTCTTAAACAACTCAGCACTGCATTTTTCGCTTCTCGGTTTTACTTTTTTCTCCCAAACTTTTCGAAAACTCCTGAACCTCCCCGTTTCTTGCTCTCTTATACTCCTCATCATTTCCCGTAAAAGTCGTAGTCGTCAGGAGAATTCACAAAGTTATTGCTGCACGTCAGTATCCCCACCATCAAGACAGTGGGGGGTTGATATTGCTCATATTGCCCTTACTAACCATAAGCAAACTGAGCAATCATTGGTTGGGGATTTTGGTCGAGCCCGTACGACCCCCCCCCCTCTTTTTACGGCTTGGTTTTTTCTCCACAGAAATATGTACACTACGAGGGTTTTTGTAACACAAGCTGATATCACATGACATACAGACAAAACAGGCAGCGCTTTTCCAAGTCAACATACCATGGAACGTATTACCATTGATAGCTTCAAAAGTCAGTGGAGATTTCTTGCTTTCGGAGACGCCTAGCGCATAGCTAACCTGGACTAGAGACTGCAGCGCTGCAAATGCTGAGATGAAATGCTTTGGATTTTATTTTCGCAGGGTTACTTAAAGACACATGGTACGCTCAAACACATTGAGGGTGTATGAGACTATCAGCCCCCAGCTGTCGATGTGTCGTGGTCCCCCCGCCCAAAACTGCACGGGTCAGAGTACGGGGCCGTGGGAAAGTCGTAATTCCTTGCTACGCCGCCCGTTTCGCAAACTCACGTTTTTACTAACACCGTCCGCGCGGCGCGGTCGCGTGCAGCTCTCTTGGCTTTTTGCCAAGTCCTGTAATTGCGCTTTGGAATACAAGTACAACGCAATTTCTTTATGCGGATAACATTTTAGGTGCTGCAAAATAAGAACCGAAGATGATGACGAGGGCTAGAACTCAAGAGCAACTGTGCTGCTTCTGCAATATCCCTCAGAGGCCGCGCATTCCCACAGAACATGACAATAAAAACGGACAACATGACAATAAAACATGACAATACAAGCAAAACGCAATTTCCTAACATTTGAGGTATTGCTCATGCTTCAAAGTCCGAATAGAAGGTGATGAAGATGAAAAGGCTAGAAATGAAGAACAACGAATGTAGATGTAAATAAAACAAAATTGAAAAAACTAAGGAAACGCAAATTAATTAAAATCGCGTGTGCATTTCTGCGATCCGGCTCGAATCCGGCTCTAAAGCTATAGAAATACTTCAAACTAACGAGTGGGACGCTTAGGCCGTTTTTATTGTCATGTTCTGTGGGAATGCGCGGCCTCTGAGGGATATTGCAGAAGCACCACAGTTGTTCTAGCCCTCGTCATCATCTTCGGTTCTTATTTTGCAGCACCTAAAATGTTATCCGCATAAAGAAATTGCGTTGTACTTGTATTCCAAAGCGCAATTACAGGACTTGGCAAAAAGCCAAGAGAGCTGCACGCGACCGCGCCGCGCGGTGTTAGCATAAACGTGAGGGCGGTGTAGCAAGGAATTACGACTTTCCCACGGCCCCGTACTCTGACCCCGTGCAGTTTTGGGCGGGGGACCACGACACATCGACAGCTGGGGGGCTGATAGTCTCATACACCCTCAATGTGTTGAGCGTACCATGTGTCTTAAAGCAAAGTGACGAACAGTGTGCAGTTTTTTATTTTGGAATGAGTGGAGGCAGCCATGAATACACATTTAGATCATGTTCATGCAACCGCTGAATTGTCAAACTATGACTACTATTGGACTGTGACTGTGAACAAATGTGTTAAAACGCTCCTCGAACCTTTTCGTCCAATCTAGGCCCCACCCCCTTGACCACGCCCACTTGCTTTTCGCGGAATTTTGATATTTTTTTAAATTTTTGCATTTTAGGGCTGCTGCGTGAAGCCCCGCCCACTGTGAGAGGCTCCGCCCACTTTGAAGAAGCCCCGCCCACTTTTCAAAAATGGTGCAAATCGGCAGTATAGGGTCTTGGCTTTCATGCTAGGGTCTCGTTCGTCACTCGGAACAAGAAAATCAGGCAAAGTTTGTTCCGAGTGACGAACGAGACCCTAGCATGAAAGCCAAGACCCTATACTGCCGATTTGCACCATTTTTGAAAAGTGGGCGGGGCTTCTTCAAAGTGGGCGGAGCCTCTCACAGTGAGCGGGCTTCACGCAGCACCCCTGAATTGCAAAGATAATTTTCACAGGGTTACTGATGATATGCAGTCCTTCGATTTTATAAGATGACAGCATGAGTCTGCTGCACAATAGCGAAGACTGAAAATTCAGTTGAAAAGCATTCTACAGTCAAGAACTTGTTTGTTATTTCTAATATATCTTTATCCGTATCCTATTTGTCGCATAATCTGAGGTATTTCACTGCTTCTCTTGGCTCTGGTTAAGTCTTCTATAAATGGACTTAGTGTGAAAAGGAGAAAAAGGTGAAAAAAGAAAAATGTGGAAAAGTTGAAAACTAGGGAAATGAGCAGAGTTGTCCAGAGAGTTTGTTTCTTCAATTCATTCTAGCTATCTGAACTCTCTTCCTGGAAGTCCCTTGAATTCACCTCGCAAACCTCTTAGAACTATATATTTTTCTATGGAGTTCATGAGGTGTTTAGCACATCTTTTAGAAATGTCAATGACATATTTCGGCTCGGATGGATATCTTCAAATGGATGCAAATTTCGCCACTTTGGCGACATCGCTATGCATCTGTGCTTTTGTCATCTGCTGTGCGTTTCGGTACTTTCTCCGACATTGCTGCAAATTTCGTGCGACACGCGGTATACCAAACTATACAGCACAGTACTACATCACCAATTCGGGTCATCCATGTAAGTTGGATCATACCTATAAGCGAAGTCCCTGAGATGTGTAGGCGTGTCTGCTAGCTTCAACCTGGAGGGACGGTGGTAATGCTTTTGTAGAGATATTTTCATTTCGACACTATTGTGGCCGTGTCTCTGTGGAACACAGAACAAGATGACAGTTGTCTCAAACTGAAATATCCTACGAGTAACCCATTCGGTGTCATGTTCAAATGCCACGCCTACTGCATCTCAGGGAAAAGGAGTGTGATTTCACGCTAGTTGATCAAAATAATGAGGACATCTTATGTTATTGTAGATGCAGAGTAATTGTGTGAGATGCGAAACCTTCCGTTTCTTCGCTCCCAGTAGCTGGTTACTGTCTTCCCTGGAACAGGAAGGGACCCAACATTCTCTAGCCACGTTATAAGAGCGTATCGGGGTGAGCTGTTTCTACGCTAATGAGTCATGATCGTGTGGGTGGGGCATCCAAAGCGGTCTCAAACCTCATCCACATTCATGCCTGTGTAGGGATTACCACAGTATGCTACCGCTTGATTGTGACGAATAGCCTCGAAACTTTCGTCGAGTCTGAGCTCCTAGAACAAATTGGTGCAATCTATACATATCTCAGAATCTTATCTAGCCTGTTCACCGTACGTTAGAAGCGGTGTATTAGGTTGTCCGGAAAGTTCTCAGCGTTTTGTGCACCTATTTTTTGTACATTCACTGCTGATTAAAAACTCATTCTGCCTTGCTTCTCAGTAGCACATCCTGTAGAGAATTTCTTGCGCTATCTGATGGTATAATTGCCGTTTCACCATTGCTTAATAACCCCCTTTTTTCAAGATTTTTTCAAGCATGTGAAAAGAGCACTTTGGACGATTTTTTTCTTCGACTATAAATTGGGGCAATCCGCAATCGAAACAGCTCAACAAATTAACCAGGTGTGGGGGCCCAATAGTGCTAGAGAAAGCACTGTGCGGCAATGGCTCAACAAATTTCGTTCTGGAGATTTCAGCCTTGAAGATGAACCTCATAGCGGTCGACCTAAAGCAATATCTGACGAGGATTTTAGGGGGATTTTGGAGGCTGACCCATCCCAAACAGTTCGAGAGATAGCAGAAGAGCTAGGCCTTGGCAAATCCATTGTTGCAGATGGTTGCAGATGGTCTGGAACGCATTGGGAAGGTGAAAAAACTCAATTGGGTGCCCCACAATCGGAGTGACCGGCAGGAATCGGCACGTCTCGAGGTTCCTTCTGCATTGCTTTTGCGCAGCAGAAACGACCTGTTTTTGGGCCGAATTGTCACCTGTGATGAAAAATGGATCATGTATGATAACAGGAGACGTTCCGGACAGTGGTTGGATTTCGACGAACCACCGAGGTAATTTTCAAAGCCGAACCCTCACGAAAAAAGATTCTGGTCACGGCTTGGTGGTCATCGGCTGGTGTGATCCACTATAACTTTTTATCACCAGGCCAAACCATCACAGCAGAACCCTACTGTGAAGAAATCGACGAATTGTACCGAAAATTGCGTCAGCTGCAGCCAACACTTATCAAAAGAAAGGGTCCGATTCTTTTGCATGACAACGCCCGCCCACACGTTTCACAAATCACTATCCATAAATTGAACGAATTGGGGGTTGAAGTTCTACCACACCCACCATATTCTCCAGACCTTTCACCAACCGACTATCACCTTTTCAAACATTTTCAGAACTTCCTTGCTGAAAAATACTTCATCAATTAGGACCAGGCAAAAAAGACCTTCGTAGATTTCGTGGATTCTCGACCACCCAGTTTTTTCTTTGATGGGATTTCTCGACTGCTGTCACATTGGCAAAAGTGTGCTGATTCGAATGGTGCCTATTTCGATTAAATCCGATGAGTATTAAAAAAGTTACGATCGTTTAAAGTGAAACACCCAAAACGCTGAGAACTTTCCGGACAACCTAATAGAACAAAGATGGTGAAAAGACCGTTACCTAATCTTACATAATTCGACACATTCAAACACATACAAAGCTTTTCAGTTACAGGCAGTCGCTTCTATTTCGATGAACGGAATCAAATACGAAGTATGGTAATCACTGCCAGTATACAACCCACGACTGAACAATACCCACAGATTGTTGGTAGGTTTTCCAGTTTTTCCCTTCAAGGAAACGGCCCGGGTCTCTACTCACTTAATTTTAATCCTGCTGTCCCAGTGACTATCTGAGACTGTACAGCATATGACTGGCTACTTTCTCATCTGCAGCTTTATAGAGAAGAAAAAAAACATGACAAAACATATAGTTACGATGGAAAATCTTCGATGTGAACTCATCACTGCCTGGGATGAGACGCTCCCACTCCGAATTGTTGGGTTCGCTCCTTATTTTGCTTCAATTGCGACCGCCACCTCCTAACACATCACATAGGAGGCAGATTTGCGAAAATTTTTTTGATTGGTGAATTTCTCGATTTTCCCGTTTCAGCCGCACAATATACCCCCCCCCCCCCCGCTCGACAGCATTGCATGCATCTAAAAGCAAACACTTCATTGGACGACCTTGATTCTGTTGCCATCAAAGGAAAGGGTTCACACACTGAGCCTCTAATACTCGGCATTAAAGCGGTAAGAAAGAAATGTAGCGCAGATGGTTCTTATCTGTTTATATCGATTGATAAGAATTACCTGTCACCCGTCATCAATGTCCTCATCACCAAATCTCTATGATTTGGTAGCGTGAACCACCTTGAACAGCGACGACGACTGCAACTTCACTTATCAGTCTCTATCAGTAGTTATCGCTTCCAGTCACCCACGATTCATGTCCCCATCTCACCCTCTATATCAATTGCTGAGACGTGCGCCTCGCTGATGCTATGACCTGCATGCGAATACAGAGACCTCACATTCTGAAGCCCTTTAACCAATCTTATCCAGCTTACAGTTCTTACCAATAATGTTCTTGGCCCATACTTTTTATCATATCTTGGAATCAAGAGTTAGCTGATGCTGTCACCCGCGTTATGAATATGGTGACCTTCTCCTTCTAACGCCCCTTATCGAATCTTATCAGCAGCTTACAGTTTTTGTGACCCACTAATGATGTTCTTGGCCCATACCCTATATCATATCTTGGAATCAAGAGCTAGCTGATGCTGTCACCCGCGTTATGAATATGGTGACCTCCCCTTCTAACGCCTCTTATCGGATCTTATCAACTGATATCACTTCCTGTCACCCACCAATAGTGTTCCCGTCACACCCCCTACATCACTTCTTGGAACCAATGTCTCACTGCTACTGGGACCGGCGCTATGAATTTCGTGACAAGCAGACAGACGCAATAAAGTAGGGTAGTTGCACTACAGGCTTGCTAAAAATTGTCAATTATAAGATACGAGCGCACGCTCGCACATCATAGCTACCCTGTAGTATGGGCAGTACCTTGTAAGATGTAAATGGATGGTGACTTACCGCAGCAAGCCCAAAAAGTCGTGGCGCAAGATCTCCACAGCTCTAATTATGATACTATATTGAACTTGCAGTCAAAAAATTCAGGATTCGTATTGGAGCCATCGCACCTCGAGTCAGAACATCCCTCTGAGTCACCTAGACCTCCCCGGTACGAAGATGCGCTTAAGTTGACATCCGCTCCGCCTCTATACGAAGAAGAATCGAATGCCTGTGAGTTTTCTGTCAAATTATTTGCAATATGTTGAAAAAGGAGAAGCTAACTGTAATCCTCCGAAAGAAGCAAGTGAATCTCTGAAAATGCCCCAATTGAAAACCTTCCCGACTGTGACCGTCATACGAGCATAAGGCACAGGGAGAATGAGTGCAGAAAAGGCAAGCAGATCATGGTTCAATAAGAAAGTACATTGAACGAAATCTCCCTTTGAAACGAAGAGACCAATGAAAATCCAGCTAACGGAGTTGAAGCTAGGTTATCGTTGTGAGCCATGGCGCTTCTATCAAACACTTTCGAGTCGCGAAGCTGGTACATTGTGCACTGCACCACATTGTTCAAAGAAAGGCGTTTGCACGATGCGTAATAGCAGACGCTGCCTTTGATTTGAAGTGCTCACAACTTTTGCCTTTTGGCTTTTTGCCCTTATGCAAAAGTTTTTGATATATGAAAGTCTTGTCTCGATCACTAGATATCAGCAACAAGGAATGGTAACTCCTGTGAAATTTCCATACACAATTTAGTGTACTAGTGTTTATTGCATGTACGCTAAATAAATGAGGTAGATATGTAAGTGAAATCATAACCATAAAAAAGAAACACACAAATGACAATAAAGGAGAAAACAAACAATTAGACAAAACTTGAAGAGTGAAAAGATCACGCTCATCAATCGAAACGTTGCCTGTAAGTATTTTGAACACCATCAACAAATCTAATTTTTTCGACGGCATAGAAGAGAATCAAGACCAAGCATCTTGTTCCTGATGACACCTCTTGGTATAGCCTTATAATTAAACCCCAAAGCGCGAATCAAAACCTTCCTAGTGAAACTATTTTGAATAGCTTCAAGCCTATAAATGGGTTTTTTAATGAGGAAAAAAGATGATGGATCCATATGAATAGAGCGAACATATCTCTATCGAACGTCTTATAAGCTCTGATAAGAACACAAGGATCCTTGGTATACAAGCATCTGAAAGAGTTGAAAAAGCTAAATTCAGCTTTCTTCGCAATGGTTGAGCAATGAGATTCAAAGTTTAACTTACTGTCAATTACGAAACCCTAATCTCTGATTTGGTTATTGTTATGCAAAGCAGAGCTCCCTAAGAAGTGTTGTTGTGTGATATAGACCTCCTTAAACGGAGAACTGAGGTTTTGTCAGAGGTTAAAGGCAGTCCCCTTAAGTTAGTCCACATAACGACTTCATCGATAGCTACTTGGATTCCATTAGTATCCGCAGTGTCTGCTATGGGTTCATTCTATAAACCAGTAACTTTGTGTGTCGGTTTGTATGTTTGTAGGTA